TGCTGAGTTGTGTCTCACAATGAGCTTTTAGCATATTCCAGCTAGGGAGAGACTGGAACAACAGATCTTTTTTTTTGCTGACAGACAAAGCAAAGTTCTGTGAGATGCAAACAAGATGGCATAAATACCTGTCTCCACACCTCCTACCACTTCTTTCAGTGAGTCATATGCCATCAACATCACTACATGCCATCAAGATCAGAAGAAATCTCACTGTTAAAACACTCTGAGCAATACCCAACTACATCGCAAGCAAATACAAACTCTGAAGAGCCTTTAAAGTGCTTCAAAACTTTCACTGATGGAATACTTACATTGACACCTCATGGCAACTGTAATATCAATATTGATTCTTAACTTACTGTAAAGAAAAAAAAAAGCAAAAAGCTAGTAAGTAACATTAAGGACAAGTATCAAGAAACATATTACTAAAATTCTCAGATTACTTGCAGAAACACAGACAAATAACAAAATTTACACCAATAAACATAAACTGTTTAAAATTTGGGTGAGCAACAATGGACTTTTAATTATTAAAGCTCTGATAACCACTCATAACTTTAAGAGATAAAAGCATCAGATTACCCTGTTGAATTTTACTATGAAACTCCTAAAAGATTTTTTTAAAATACCACTGGCCTAAGAGTTTGTCAAACTCTTAATAAGAATATATAGTTTTCAATATTTTACACACTGAGTAAATACTTGAGCACCTTCCTCCTGTTTTGTCCTTAAGACAGGCCATTTTATTTCCAAACCTAATCAGAATTCCTCAGGACACTGACATTCAGGATCAGACAATGTGTGCTTGCAGCCCAGAAGGCCAATAACCGTATCCTGGGCTGCATCAAGAGAAGCGTGGCCAGCAGGTCGAGGGAGGGGATTCTGCCCCTCTACTCCGCTCTTGTAAGGCCCCACCTGGAGTACTGCGTCCAGTTCTGGAGCCCCCAACATAAGAAAGACATGGACCAGTTAGAACAAGTCCAGAGAAGGGCCACCAGGATGATCTGAGGGCTGGAGCACCTCTCCTATGAAGACAGGCTGAGAGAGTTGGGGCTGTTCAGCCTGAAAAAAAGAAGGCTCCAGGGAGATCTTATAGCGGCCTTCCAGTACCTGAAGGGGCTACAGGAAAGCTGGGGAGGGACTTTTCATAAGGGCAGTTAATGACAAAACAAGGGGAAATGGGGTTAAGCTGAAAGAGGGGAGGTTTTGATTAGATATTAGGAAGAAGTTTTTCACTGTGAGGGTGGTCAGACACTGGCATAGGTTGCCCAGAGAAGCTGTGGCTGCTCCTCCCTGGAAGTGTTTAAGGCCAGGCTGGATGAGGCTTTGAGCAACCTGATCTAGTGGAAGATGTCCCTGCTGATGGCAGGGGGGTTGGAACTAGATGATCTTTAAGGTCCCTTCCAATCCTAACCATTCTATGATTCTATGATCAGGCTGAGAAGTTGCTAAAACCAGTTCCCAGAAAATGCTGTCATGTCATAAGGATGTTTTGCTTGCACTGCTTCTGGAAAAAGCTCTTTTCTCAAAAATGCTCCCATATTATAATAGCAAAATGCCTGTATACTAAGATCTTTAACCTGAATGTTTCCATAATGAGGGGAGATGAAACATAGTTCTTCCCATCAGGGGGGAAAAAAAACAAAACCAACACCCCAAAAAACTCCATCACACCAGAAGTCTGATTGTGTGGCATTCCCCAATATTCTGGGCATTTCCTACTGGTTTTTTGTGTTAGTTTCACAAAAGTAATTTAAACTATAATGAATAAATCCCCTCCCTGTAGTCATACAGTCCTATCTCTTCCAGGCAGCTTCTTCTGGGAACTTATCTGACCACAAACAAACCACATAAGCAAGCGATTCAACACTGGGATCAGACACGGTCAACTGACAGGAGAAAAGCAGTTAAAGTGACACCAGTCTCCATTGGTTTAAATTGCCACAGAACTGCAGGCTGAGGGATGAGCCCACAATCATACTGGGAAATCTGCAGCCAGGTGTCTCCCAAGTCCCGTAATGTCTCTTAACCACTAGACTATCCTTCCCATGCGATAGATTCACCAGGGAAATAACCTACTTCAGCAAAGACCTAAATGTGAAACTCCCATCTGTCTGAATGGATTTACTCTACCATGAGTTTTTGATGCATCTCCCTTAAATCTCACATGGTTTTTTATTTTTTTATTACAGAAACCTTTGGTATTTCTGACATCCAAGACATCCAATTAATATACGTAACTTTAGCTTGTTACCACAGCAACTAGTCAAACAGCTTTTAAAGTTATTTTAGTTCCAGATACATGATATTTAAAGGTGTTCGGTGCACAGAATCTCCATTAACTTCACATGGACTCACGGGTGCCTGAACACCTCAGGAAGAAAAGCACATGAAACCAACAGCAAATGTATCTTCAGCTGATCTTGGGAGGCCGTAACTGGAGATGAGATCAGTAACCATCTCTAGACAACACAAAGTTCTGAGTGCTTAAGGTTCACCTCCAGTAGCACAAAGAATAATGGCAATATACTACCTGTGTAAACTAGAGCAAGCATCATGTGAATCTGGGGGGTTTACATAGCTGATGTGGAATTACATATTACAGTGTCCTCTGAATTATTAGCAAATAATTCCTCAGGGGATTCCACCAACAAACCTACGCTATTTTGACTCCTTCATTGCAGAAATCTCAATTTCTCTTCTTCATAAACTCCAGAAAAGAAAAAAACAAATCGGTCAACATAAGAGAAATCAAACCCCTTTTGGTATTTTGGCTTTTATTTCAATCATAAATTGCTTGCAATTTTAAATCTATTCTGTCCTGAAATGCAGACAACTTAAATTTTAAAAGGAAATATAATGAATAAAAATTACCTAGTAAAATCTTTGTCTACTTCGTATTCATATTTCATCCATGTGTCCCGGTACACCGTGAACTCCATTATAGTCAGGAAAGCTATCGTTGTAAATGCTATCAGAGAAACTGAGTGGTCAAAACAAATAAAAAAAGTTTATTCAGAAACATAAGTGAACAAAATTCTAACATTAAAGAATCTAAGTATTACCAGTACAATACTGCTATCTCTGATTTATAAATCCATAAACTGCTCTTAGAAAAATCTCTTTGTATCTACAGAATTTGCTTTTACATTGAAGAGGAAAAGAGTAAGTCCTGCCTTTGCATCAAGAAAACTTTTTACATTAAGTACAGCCAAATACTAGAATAATGGGGAAGTTGTGAAATCCCTATATGGAAAACGTAAGAACAGGCTAGATCCTCCTCAGCATACAACACAAAACGCCCACAAATCACTGTCAGGGATGGTCCAGGCAAACTCAATCCTAAATTCAAGCATGAAAGGAGAAGGTGCACCCTCAAGTCCCTTCAAACCTCCACTCGTCTACAACCTACATTCTACCAACAGCTAAATAAGTAAAGAAATGATCTGAAATCATTCTTTGAAAGAAAACTAATTGGTATATTTTAATGGTATATGTGGGTCACTTATCTCCAGTGGCTGCAGCATTGACTGTTGTGATGATCAGCAACATTTCAAGCTCTAGCTTTCAGCTGGAGCTACGTAACCATCATACATGTGAAAATCTTCATGTCAATGCACACCGTGAAAGCAGATGCACCAATCAGTTAATTATTCTGATTCAATTTCCTTTTGGAGAACAGTAGGCCAGCCTCAGCCCAGCTATCCAAGAGGAAAGCTGGAGCCATACTGTCTATTCAAACACAAGGAAACAATTAGAATTACAGCTGCTTTTGAGGTAATTCTGAGCAAAGGTAGTTGTGGATCTGAACAGGGAAATAAAGTCTTGTAGAATTTCCAAAGATAGATCCTTTTTTCTGAAGGTTCTCCCAGCCCACCTGAGAGACGAGTATTTCTTTTGCAGTGGATTTTAAGGCACTGAAACTCTGAGAAGAGTCTTACTATGTTTTGCATCCCTATCACACCAGAAAGTAAGCCTGGCACTTTAATCCTGACTAAAATGTGAATACTATATTAAAATTTTATAATGGCATAGAATAAGATAATCCTGTATTACTATTTATAAGGTTACTGGGACAAACCGAAGAATGCTAAAGTAACTTCTGGTATTGAGAAATCCTTAAGGCACCCTTCAGCAAAGTGAAGTTCTCATGAAGGATGGTGCTATACTAGAAAAAGGACATTTTCAAGCATTTTTTTTTTCTAAGAATTACAACACAAAACCAACTTGTTTTCTCAGGAACTGGGACTAACATTAACAAAGAGTTATTTAATCAGCTCTTAGAGATTATTTTCTATACAATAATCCTTTAATTATTAACATTGCAATTCAGGAAACACGGCAAAGTAATACAGATCCTTGTGATAGTTACTTCTACACAAGTGGCGTAATGACTTCAAAGGCTTATCTGGAGATTGCAATTACTTCTTGTACTTTTTATTCAAGTGAGTTTCAGGCATAACTGCACATGAGAGAGATTTTTGTCCTACATTTCAAACTAACTGCTAGCAGTTTCCTATCTAACTGCAAACAATTCCAATAGTCCAATAGATTAAGGAACTATTTCCAGATCAGGCTGCCTCTAACCCAACCCAACTTACAGGCACAATTTTCTGTTCAGGTACATATAGAAAAGGTAGTTCTTACAGCTACAGCTTCTTGAGAGAAGTTCAAGGGACTAATAAGGACCGTACAAGCACATGCCCTGAAGTGTTTAGTTCTTCAAAGAAGTTCTTCCTTACTCTTAAAATCAACTACAGCTTCAAGACAAAAAGCTTTAGAAAGCTGCTCGTCATCCTGATGCTTAACTTAGCCAGCTCTCAGACACCTCTGGAGAATGTTTTTCCTATTTTATGAAAGCATAGAGCTGAATCCAACCTGCATTTATTTCAGCTCCTGCTGACACAGTCTCACCCAAGGAATTGACACAAACAAAAGGGCTTAGTGAGACAACAAATGAGAAAGGTTTATTACAGCCTTGGCACAGTTCATGTCCAGTTGCAATTGGTTAGAATTTTTTGCAGTGCACCTTTACATTGGTTTGAATCTCACCAGTTTTACAGAAAAATCTACCTTGAGATGAGTGATAGATGCATCTATTTGGATATTATGTCTTTACTCTAACGAGATGAGCTCTGTCAGTCCACAAAAGAAATCAAGAAATCAATTTAGTCTAGTTTCAAATGAACACAGATGCCCGTCTTCCTCCTATTGAAGTTTCTGTTCCCAGAGTATGCTACCCTGAGCTAACAGCCAACATGAATCATGTCAGCATCTCAATAAGGCCCACCTGTGCCTCCGCTCGCTGAAGTCTCCACATAGCTTTCAGGAACCTTTGGAAAGGCATCCAGTTCTTTCATCAAATTCAAGGTCTTCTTCCGATTCAGTCGCCTCATCTTCAGTACAATCCTCCACTTCCTCCTTCATATATTCCCTCTGATTTGAGAATAAATTGTTGTGATTAGAAGACACGAGCAGTACTGCTCAAACCAACTGGCTATAGTTATAGAGTAATAATAAGGCAATTAAAATCTAATACGTTAGATTAGGCAACTAGATGGTCACTCTTGCTTCAAGAAAATTGTTAAAACTGGCCTGGACACTGCTGCTTACATTCGAACCACATCCAGCACACTTACCATTTAATTAGCATGGCTAATTTATTCCTCAATTAAATTTGTAATGGTATTGGAGATACTGAATTTTAAATTAAAAAACAAACAAACAAATTCAGTCCTGAAATAAGCTTGCTAAACAGACCTGACAATGCACTGACTTAGCAGGGAATATCTAATAGGCTGCATAAACTCAGGAGGATGTCAAACTGCTCCCATATTCAGCCAATGTGGGCACATACTACGTGCTAAAGGAGCGGAGGAAAAAAAGTGCATTTCACATTTTTACAACTGTAGAATCTTATGGTCCTAATAAAATCAGCATTTTTTTCCCTCTATAAAAATGCCCCCCAAAGCAAATTAGGTATCAAATCCTAGCTCCATCCTTCAGAATCCTTTTTGTCCACAACATGATTGGAGTCACTGATATGTTAAGCAGCAGGATGCTGAGAGAAGCAGCCTGCCCAGTAAATACTGTCTTAAACTGTTTCCAAATCATGCAAATATTTGGTACCGTCAATGCACTGCATGTTTTAACAAGTTGGCACTGTTGTTTTCCTTCTGAGGAAATGCTGCACTTTGCCCAGAATTTCTGAAGCTATAAAAACCATCGTGCATTTACTGTATTCTGAGAATACATCATATTATCGTCCTCTATTTAAACAACACCAAGGCAGGCAAGCTAACCTACACTGCCAACATGTGAGATAGTCCTCATCAGGACCTTGTAGAAAAATGCGTTAACTCATCTCCCCTGTTTCAAGAGCTCATCAAGTCTCCAGCGTGCCCTAGTGAAATTACTCAAGAGCTATTCCCTGCTCTGCCCCTCCCTGGTGCTGAGCAGGCTTCATACTGTGCAATAACAAAGGGACAGGCTTTACTGGAAATGGAAGTTCACACGTGGAGAATCACGATCCATGCCTGCAATTTCCTCACTACACAAATCCACTTCAGACCTCAGTGAGAAGATACAGACTGTGCACCTGGTGGAAGCATCAGTCAAATCAGCCTGCAGAGACCAACAAAACGATACTACTGTGCATGTTGGTGAGGATTCAAAGAAACCACAGTTAAAGTGGGCAGGAAACATGGGTGCTGGAACAGAATTCAGTCATACAGCATCAAAAAAGAAAACAAAAGAAAAAAAAAAAAAAAGGAAGCAAGGTCCTGTCCTTACTACGCTACATAATTGTGTTTTAAATAATTATCTCAACTCCACTCAGAGTAGCTTAAGGAAAAGCTGAAAACTCAGGAGCACAGGTACTGCAAAGCAGCTGCTGGGACACAATGACTGGAGCCATAACACTGGTGAGTGCAGAGGAACACCGGACGGGGCTGCCTGTGATCCCGCACAGACAGCACTGAAGTCAACTGAGCACCACTGCATTTTCCCCGTGTCTTCTCTGCTACCACGTGTCTAGGAGCACACTGTAAAGAGGCACAAGATAAACCTAGAGAACACGAGAGCACTTCACTAAGGAACTTTCTAAATCATTCTGCATCAGTGAGTACGCAGATTTTGGTAATCTAGCTCGAAGAATCCCATGTGTGCATCCGTTTCTTTAATCCCACATACACAGACTCCCTTTCAATTAGGGACAGACGTTCTCTACCTCCCCCTGCCCACCTCAAC